GGAGGGTAGGTAGCCTTGCAAATCCTTCTCGGATCCTCTTTGCAAATCCGTCTCGGATTCTCCTTAAAAATCCTTCTTGCAGATCCCCCATTGCAAATCCTTTTTAGATCCCCCATTGCAAATCCTTTTTAGATCCCCCCTTTGCAAATTCTTCTTGGATCTCCCTTGCAAATCTCTGTTTATATTTCCATGTATAGGTACAGGGTTGCCAACAAAGGATGAGACTGTAAAGACGACCCAAAACTCTGAAAATGACGGTTTAAATCTTGATTTTTGATTGTTGCATTCAATTAAGTACATTTTAATGGTTTACTAAATAATTAGGAACAGTTTTGCACTACAAAGAACCCTAAATGCAAGAAAACGGACTAAACAAATTTCGTACAATCATCTCTGAAGTCTCATATTTTGTGGGTAACCCTGTATATCGTTTAAATCTCAATAAAATCAATTTCCTATCATTTATAATTGTTCAGCCTCCAAATCGATATTTTTATACACTTTAATTTGATTTTAATTAATTCCATAAAATTCAGAAATACGAAAATTACTAGAAAATGCCGAACAATTAAGGACCTGAAATCACGTTCTTTGTCCTTTGTCCTCTTGGATCCGTCCTGGCGAGTCTACGGCTAGGACTATCCGTCCTTAGTCCTGCTTCCCGCTGCTCCTCCCCCCAAACCTAGACAATTCTTATTTATATAGCGGGAAATTAAGTAACAGTTGAAACTGCGCGAGTGTACACTACCAAAAACTAGCACGGAGAGTACAGTGTACACTGTAACCTGTAGTCTCCGGCCCGGCACTCTATCCCCAGCTCAGAGATAAGAGAGTTACAGAGATCGATTATCAGCTAAAATATGCGATATTTTCCACAGCATGTTCTATTGTATACAAGTACTGTACACGACCAATCAACAAACATCTGTATTCAGGGATATTTAAGGATCGTTTGGATCGGAAACACAAAATCTTTAAAAAAGACTGAATTCATAAATGCTCTGTTTCATGTTTAAAATTGGAGTATATCTTAACAGTTGTAAAACTTAACCCCTGAATGGGTATTATGTTGAACAAGTGGCCGTGAGATGGCACTTAAAAACCCTTTTGTAAAAACATAGCATGTCGTGCCGGGTCAACATAGGCCTATGTAGCCCACCCAGTAAAAGGAGATAAGAGTCTGTGTAGTCTGTGCTTCAGCTGTACAAATGAGGGTATCTACTTCGACGTTGTCCGGACAAAGGTTTAACGGGTACCGTAGTGAATCGTGTATGCCTTGCTATAAATGGAAGGTCACTTGAAATTACGCTTGTACAGTCAATTTAAGTTAACAATAAAATTTTCATATTCTGTTTTGACGTCACTAAATTTAATTCTCTACGTTCTCTGGAGAATAACATTTTTACAAAACAATTCATTCTTTGCAGAAAGTAAACATGGTTGTACTTTAAGAAGAAAAGAAATGAAATATTTAAAAAATTTCTTTCTAAAATATCATTTTTAGATTCTTTTATACATTTTTGTCAAGTTTTTTTTTTATATTTTCAAGATGCTTATTAAAAATAAATAGTTTTCTTGATAGCATTTTTTATTTTTATCTCAATTTGACTTCTTAAAATTTGAAATGTTTTTGAATTCTTATCATTTTGACTTGCGAAATAAAATATTTTTCCACCATTTACCATTTTACTGTAGATTAAAAAATAAGTTAAGTACAAAAATTGGTTAAAAATCCTACAAGGGAAAATAAACACCTGGAAAGGGACATGTTGTCATAATTATAAATAAAATCCTTAAACCCCTAATATCGTTATATTTTTTAACATCACGTCGTTTTTCTACTTAAAAAGTGCTTAATTCTGTAAATATTATTTTTTCTGAAGCAGAAAACCACAATTTAAAAAAAAAACAATTACATCTAATTCATTCTTTACCAGACAAAGTTTTTAACGATAGCGTTGTGAATCGGACATGCAACGCCACCAGTTGAGGATCACTTGAAATTGCATCTACAGTTCATCTATTTATAAACTTTGCTTGTCTGTTTGTTTGTATCCAATAAACGTAAAAACGGCTAAAGCGATCCGGCTCAAATGGTGTGTAGACTGTGGGACCTCACAAGACCCCAGTGAAGTTTATGAATGATCAAAATAAAAAAAATTAGCCTCCAACAAAATTCGATTTCCATAAAATTTTGAAAATCCACGAAATTTTTTATAAAACTAGCAAAATTTTTTGTTTTTGTTTTATAATGTATACAAAGAGAGAATGTTTAGGATTGAAAGCCTAGTTTGATAAAGTTTCCACAATTATTTGTTTGGAAAAGAACAATCAATAAAAACTTCAATTAAGTTTCCTGTAAAGTAGTGTTTAATATCGATAAATAAAACCACATTAAACATTAAAAATAGAATGCACTTAATTTAACTGTCCAAAATTCCAAACATGTTTCTATATATATGTTCTACCCTAAATATCCAGAATACATGAAGACTAAAGAACTGAACACTCTCCTCAAACTCTAATTCTCTAATCCCTATATCTTTGCAATCCGATGGTTTAAACATTAAAAAAATTGCAATACAAAATTGACTATTTGATGAAGCAGTATTCATAGTTAGAAATATAATAAAGATATAAGGATTAAAATATTATAGTTTGAGGTGATTGTTTAGCTCCTTATACTAAATGTTAAAAAGGAATTTTTTGTTTAATTATCTGAATTTCTAGAATCTAGGACCTTTAAGTTGTTCTAAGTTGCTCTAAACTGTTTTAGAAGCATAGATGCTGCTTTAAGCTGCACAAGGTTTAGCTCTTCTCAGATGATCTAGGCTGCTTTCAGCTACTCTTAGCCGCTTTCAGCTGATCTAAGTTGCTCTAAGCTACTCTAACCTGCTCTCTGCTACTCTAACAGCAGCCTACCTCCGTATGATCAGAAATCTGTGAATCAGGAGCAGCACTGTAAACCAAAACAGCTTCATCTATAGAATCCTCTAGACCAGAGCTATAATCCTGGAACAGGGGAACACGTAAAAGTATTTACAACGAAGTGCACACTGTCATCATATTTTCATTTCTTATTGAAAACCTGTCAAAAACCCCTGTCAAAAACAGCGTAATATACCTTTAAACTTAAATATTCAAAACACATAGCCCAACCAACAAGTATAAAATAGCAAAAAGATAATATCTACGTTTAAGGTCTGGAAATTGATTCTAAAGTTAAGGCTCACTGGACTTAAAATCAGAAACACTGGGAGATATCAATCTAAAGGGGTGGTTGGCGCCATAAAATTTAATCTTTCTACCTGATATTCAGATATTTCCATATTTCTACCTGATATTCAGATATTTCTATATTTCTACCTGATATTCAGATATTTCTATATTTCTACCTGATATTCAGATATTTCTATATTTCTACCTGATATTCAGATATTTCTATATTTCTACCTGATATTCAGATATTTCTATATTTATACCTGATATTCAGATATTTCGATATTTCTACCTGATATTCAGATATTTCGATATTTCTACCTGATATTCAGATATTTCGATATTTCTACCTGATATTCAGATATTTCTATATTTCTACCTGATATTCAGATATTTCTTTCTGCCAAATATGTCTGCTCCAGTCAGAGCTTTTCACACAAACACTGTCCCTAAATATTCATCAATTAATATTAAAAAGTTTTATTGAATTCAAAACTTGTCGGAAACACTTTGTAATTACTTAAATCCCCTCCTGCTCAAATGAATAATATGTTAATTCTATTTTTTGAATGAAGGTATAAAATTTTTTTTTTAACTTTGATCAGTTTCACACAACCCATTTTGAGTATAGTGTGTTGAGTTTCCAAAGTGTGATTGTCTGTTTTGTGCTTTCAAGGTTTTAAAGAAGACTAAAATTGTCATAACATCAATATATCCAGAGAGCTAATACAACATGTGACGAAATTATTTAAATGGTTTTTAAGAACTGGGAAGGTTCTAGCTTTCTTTTTACCATGTACAATCGTTCCCATTGTGAAGGAAAATATTAAAGATATAACTAGCAGTGACAACTAGTGGGACACCCTGTAAATTAAAAGAAAAGTCGTCTCTGAAAAGTCATGTTTATTGGGACACCATATGAATTAAAAGAAAAGTCGTCTCTTAAAAGTCATGTTCATTGGGACACCCTGTAAATTAAAAAAAGTCGTCTCTGAAAAGTCATGTTTATTGGGACACCAAGTAAATTAAAAGAAAAGTGAAATATAAAATATGTTTATTTTTCATTAGACTTTTAAAAATCATAACTTGAGTCTGCGGTCGTCTTTATATTCCACAGTTTTATGGGGTCTCTTAATTGTCCTGTTTAGTGGGACAGCTTGTAATTTAAAAGTAGTCTCTTAACTGTCCTGTTTAGTGGGACACCTTGTAATCTAAAAGTCGTCCCTTAACTGTCCTGTTTAGTAGGGCACACTGTGATTACAAAAGTTGTTTCTTAACTGTCCTGTTTATTGGGACACCTTGTAATTTAAAAGAAAGTCGTCTTTTAATTGTTTTGTGCAGTGAGATACCCCGTAAATCAAAAATCGTCTCTATTATCATGTTTTGTGGAACACCCTGTAATTTACAAGTCGTCTCTGATTGTCATGTTTTGTGGGACATTTTGTAATTTTAATGTCGTCTCTTCTTGTCATATTTTGTGGGACACACTGTAATTTAAATGTCGTCTCTTAATTTTCATGTGCAATAAGACACCCTGTACCTAAAATATTGGCAAGGAAGAAGGGTAACTAGGCCACGGGTCTGGCATCTAGTACAGGGTAGGCAGTCCTAGATAGATTAATAGATTAATGAATGGAGGGTAGACAGTCCTAGAAAGATGAATAGATTAATGAATGGAGGGTAGGTAGTCCTAGATAGATTAATAGATTAATGAATGGAGGGGATGCAGTCCTAGATAGATTAATAGATTAATGAATGGAGGGGAGGCAGTCCTAGATAGATTAATAGATTAATGAATGGAGGGTAGGCAGTCCTAAATAGATTAATAGATTAAAATGGAGGGTAGGCAGTCCTAGATAGATTAATAGATAAATGAATGGAGGGGAGGCAGTCCTAGATAGATTAATAGATTAATGAATGGAGGGTAGACAGTCCTAGATAGATTAATAGATTAATGAATGGAGGGTAGGTAGTCCTAGATAGATTAATAGAGTAATGAATGGAGTGTAGACGGTCCTAGATAGATTAATAGATTAATGAATGAATAAATATTTAAAATTTCGTTTTCACATTTTAAAACTTATGTCAAAGTGAGTTTTAACAATTTTAAACATACTTTAAACAGACTTTTAACATAATTTTACAAATATGATTCAAAATATTTTTGAAATTTTGAAAAGCCCGGGTCACTTAATACCAATCTTTTAACAATTCCCTTAATATTTCTTAATCTTTTGTTACACAAAACAGAATTGAAATAAAAGCAGTATAATTATTTATCAATAATAATCACTGCTTCCCAGGCTAAGATTTGTTTATATTCCTCGCGTTTTCATTCGACTTTATTTTCTGCAAGTTTCTATTACATATTATTTCGTTGTTCAAATAAAATAATACGTTTCTAAGATTTATATATTTATATATTTATATATTTATATAAAAGTTTTGTTGTTGACCCATTATTGCAATAGACAATCAAATTAGCAAACTTCCTCTTAATTAGATCAAGAGAAGTCATTATATAATAATGGTGCACATCTAAAAATTACCCAACCTTCCGAAACTTGTTGTTATTTTTCCAGATATATTGAGGAAACTTTGTAAGTAAGCTAAGACCTTGTACCTAATTTGTGATGATGTAAAACTTTTAATGCAGTACACTGTTTGTGTACCGCAGTACACTGTTTGTGTATGCAGTACACTGTTTGTGTATGCAGTACACTGTTTGTGTATGCAGAATACTTACTTGATAATTTTATTACTTTTAAATTCAAGAATACAACTCGACAGCCTAGTTCACTCAGAGCCCAAAAAAAAACTTACCCGACATCTTTTAAAACTGATTTCCAAAATTTTACTTATTCGAAACCTAGTTAAAGCCCCGAAACAAAATTCAACCGAATCACCAAACACATTGAAGGTTGCCTGTTTGCTTTTACTTTAGATTCTAAATCAAATTAGCTCAATATTATATTTATTTTTGTCGTAAGGTGCAATATCTTCTAGTGATTGGAGAAATGTACTCTATAAAAAATTAAATATTAAAGGGACATGTTATCTCAAGTGTCCCTTCATGCAAAAATGGCAATTCCCGATCCTCACTCAACCGCATTCTATAATTCTGTGTCTGTACAGATATGAATCAAATATTCATGTTTGTAATTTGAAAAACTTATAATTTTCAATTGTGGTTTCACTATAAAAGTGACTTGCCTTGCGCTTTCTTTTGCAGGAACAAAAATAGGAATAATGCAGAAATAAACAATAGAAAAAACAATAGAAATAAACAATAGAAATAAACAATAGAATAAACAATAGAATAAACAATAGAATAAACAATAGAATACACAATAGAAAAAACAATAGAAAAAACAATAGAAAAAACAATAGAAAAAACAATAGAAAAAAACAATAGAAAAAACAATAGAAAAAACAATAGAAAAAACAATAGAAAAAACAATAGAAAAAACAATAGAAAAAACAATAGAATAAACAATAGAATAAACAATAGAATAAACAATAGAATAAACAATAGAAAAAAGAAAACATTTTTCACATTATCTTCGGACATTGCCAATTGCCATCTTTGCTTGGATGGTCACTTAAATGTACGTTTATATTGCCCATTTAAAGAAAAAAAATTAGAATATATTTATTTCAGTGCATTTCCACCCGACGACAAAAAATATGAATAACTTTTGATAATTTGATTTAGAACCACTCGGTTGGCAAGGTGACACTTCAAAGTCGGCCTGTTCTGTATAGTGAATGCATAATTTTTAAAACTGTGTAGATCGTACTATGTAAAAAGTTCTTCCCGTCTGACTCTGTTGCCACACAATGGGTACCCTAGACGGGCAGGTACGATCATGCAATTTATGAACTTATGGGATATCTGTTTTCCCACCTTTTTCCCGGTATCCCAGAAGTAGAAGACCCTGTGCTTGATCTTCATCTTCCTCTGCCTCAGGTTAAGCTCCTGCTCTGTTAATCCTCGCCAGAACCTGAGATGAAAACTTTTAAATCCGGTTCAATTTAATCTAGTTCAAGCTCATTAGCTATTTTAAGAGACTATTTACGTAATTTCAAGTGACCTTGAAAGAGGGGGATCCCCGATTTACAACGTGTTGTAAGGACATCCTTGAAACCTTTAACTTTTCCATATTTATCTACAGACACTTGTAATTATTTAACACTTTGTTTGCAAGCTGTTAAATATTTAAGGAATATTCAAATTTACATTCTAGAAGTGGCAGAAAACTGCTTAGTATACAGACCATTCCGTTTATCCCAGGAAAAAATGTGACGGTTGCTGTGTTAAGTTCACATAGTACACTAGCGTACAATTCAATATCATGGATTTTTACACAACAGATCCTAGCTGTAGTATGACAAGTACCTGCAGGATAAAGGGACCTCTGTACCTCCTACTCGTCCTCCCCATACCAGCTGGAGTCCAAGGACGAGTTGTACAAGGAGGCCGCTCAGAAGTCCACCGTCAATCTGAAGTCCAAAGACGATTTGGGTTTGGACTGAGTCCATTTTGATCATTAAAAGAGAATGTTTTTCTGAAAATATCAATTTAAAGAGTAACTGCTCCGTGGTTCTACTGTCTACTGGATTAACTGTTCTGTGGATCTATTATCTACTGGAGTAACTTCTCCGTGGTTCTATTATCTACTGGAGTAACTGCTCCGTGGTTCTACTGTCTACTGGAGTAACTGCTCTGTGGATCTATTATCTACTAGAGTAACTGCTCCGTGGTTCTATTATCTACTGGAGTAACTGCTCTGTGGTTCTATTATCTACTGGAGTAACTGCTCCGTGGTTCTATTATCTACTGGAGTAACTGCTCCGTGGTTCTATTATCTACTGGAGTAACTGTCTGTGGTTCTATTATTTACTGGAGTAACTGCTCCGTGGTTCTATTATCTACTGGAGGAACTGCTCTGTGGTTCTATTAGCTTCTGGAGGAACTGAACTACTGATGAATAAATGAAGACTGAAAACTGTATAAACAGCACAATATTCCTGAATACTCTAAAAATAGACTGATCAGAAAGGTGAATCTAAGAACTTAAAAAGATAGGATTTCAGTTGGAGGGAACAATTAATGAACTTTTTTTATTTTTAATTAGGATTTTTACAATTTTCCGACCTCTCATTCGATCTTTGACCAACAAGAGAACAGAGTTGAGAAGTGGTTAAGCTAAAAAAAATGATAAGCTTAATCTATTCTTGCAAAAGTTCTTGGCTCTTGTGTAATTAACTGATTAAGGTACGGAACTGTTGACTACAGTATTTTGATTTGGGAGGATGATTGAAAGGGACTGTTCACGTTATTTTAAGTCGCCCTCCATTTGAAAAATGACTTGCCTTTTAAAAATGTCACCCGAATACATTATCCAAGTAAGAAATTAATTCTGATAAATTCTTGCATTGTCTCTGCTGCATACCTAAACGGGTCAGTAGTTTTTCTAAAGAGAACAAGGTTATTTTTATGATTTTGCATACTCTTTACATGGAGAGTCTCTAGAAACTACGTTAACAGTCTCTTCTGGTCTGATACCGCAGACCTTCAGATTAGTTTCATCCTTGTTCTATATAAAGTATTGGTTATACTCTGTAAGGATAGCTTTAATTCAGGGATCACATTTGAAGTTGCCCACATTGGATATCGTGATCAAGCGTCCAAGATTGTGCAACCCTAATTTTAATTGTTTTCTTTCACACTTTTTATTGAGTCTAGAAAGTTGCATTTAACTAGTTTTTTTTCTACTAAAAATATAAATATTCTAACATTTAACTCAACCTACGAAGTGTATTTTTAGCATTGAGACATTTAAACCACATTTATCTGACATATTTCAGTTAAATATTTAATGCCATGTTTTTGAGAAACTCGCCAAAAATTCTAAATTTAACTCTCAGTTACATGCACACAATTTCGTCCCATGGTCGGGGATAGATAGATAGATAGATAGATAGATAAATAGATAGATAGATAGATAAATAGATAGATAGATAAATAGATAGATAGATAGATAGATAGATAGATATAACATGAATGAAAGTGTAGATATATTCTCAAGCGTGTTGATTTCTCAATGAAACGAAATGATTCAAGAATTCGAATTTATCGCCAATATTTGCAAAAGAATAGAAGTATTTTTGCAGAGGTGTGAATTTAATTTTATATACGTTTTTTTAATAAAATACTAGACATGAAAAAAAAATTGTCTTAAGCAAAATTTATAAACTCAACATAAAAGTCTTTCATCAAAGGTTAACAAAAATTTTATATTTGGTAATTACATGTTTCTCTCTTGAGTGAAAATAAGATGAATTACTTCTGAAAAAAATTCTAAATAAAACAGCATCAAGCTTACATTTAGTGCTTAAATAATCTATATACCTGTTACAAGACATTAGTAATTATAATCATAATAATAATAATAATAATAATAATAATAAAGATCCAATTCTAATTTTAAACTTTAAGCTTGAAAATAATGACAAACTTTAATTGGAGGCAAAAATTGGTTTATTTTTAAAACAAATTATCTATTATCTGTTAAAAAGACATTGTTTGTTTTGATCTTAAATTTAAATAAATTCTTCTACCTAACTCTTTTAAACAATTGGATTATCTTTAAAACAATTAAACGTTGAATAAAAAAGCGATTGTTTTTAATTTATTTATTAAAAATAAAAAACTCGATTTGGAGGAAATTTCAAAAAAGTGTAATTTAAGGATATGAACGACATGTAATCCAGAAAAAAAACAAATAAATTTTTGTACAACATTAGAAAATCACAAACTCCCAGCGAAAATTATCAAGTGAAAGAAAGAAGAAGGACAACAATAATTCCATAGTTTTTTGCTCTCACTGCACCACAAACCGGAATGTTCTTTATGTAAAATAAATTCTGCCGCTGCTTGGGGATTTTTCCAGGAGAGTACGAGGTTTCGTGATTATGTTAGTTTTGTAGTTTTCCTCAGAGCTTCAGGGGCGTTCATAAATGGGAGGGGTACGTTGAAAAGTCTGACAATAGGGGTTATGCATTACACCCCCCCCCCAAACACATACGTAGATTCAAGTGACCCTGTATTTGTGGCCTGTCTGATAACAACAGTATAACCCAAAAAGATTGCAAGTACAACAGAGAAATGGACAAATTATACACGACGTCACAAGTGTCAAATATTACAAGGAAAACGAAATTAATCTCACATATTTGACATGTTTTCCAAGATTAAATAAAAAAGAGTAAAAACAGAAAATGAAGGATTATTGAAGGATAAGCACTTTATTCTTATATTATCACTATTATTAATAATTTTATCGGACACAAAAACAGAGTTGACACTTGTGACGTAAAAATACAGCTCTACTCAGAGTGTACAAATTCTACGTTGCCATCCATTGTATTAGAACCTAATTGGTATAACCATTTAAATCTTTATAACTTTTTAAGTATGACGGACTTAGCCTTATTTCTTTTTAGTTTAAAAGATGAGGAATATTACTAGGATTTAAAGTTTACAAAAAGTTGAATACTACTATAGTTTACAAGATGTTAAACAATACTAGGATTTAAAGTTTACAATAAGTTGAATACATACTAGAGTTTACAAGATGTTGAATATTACTAGGATTTAAAGTTTACAATAAGTTGAATACATACTATAGATTACAAGATGTTGAATATTACTAGGATTTAAAGATTACAATAAGTTGAATATATACTATAGTTTACAAGATGTTGAAAAATACTAGGATTTAAAGTTTACAATAAGTTGAATATTACTAGTTTACAAGATGTTGAATATTTCTAGGATTTAAAGTTTACAATAAGTTGAATACATACTATAGTTTACAAGATGTTGAAAAATACTAGGATTTAAAGTTTACAATAAGTTAAATACATACTATAGTTTTCAAGATGTTGAACATTACTAGGATTTAAAGTTTACAATAAGTTGAATACATACTAGAGTTTACAAGATGTTGAACAATACTAGGATTTAAAGTTTACAATAAGTTGAATATTATTAAAGTTTACAAGATGTTGAATATTTCTAGGATTTAAAGTTTACAATAAGTTGAATATTACTATAGTTTACATGATGTTATTCCATATATTTAAGTATATAAGTTTTAATAATTTGTAGATTTATTTAATACCTTTTCCGGGTTTTTCTTTATATCTTTTGTAATTTTTGATAGATTTTATAAATTTTGGAATGCAAAAATGTTCTCATGTTTATTAAAGAAGTAGGTTGGAAGTAGGTCTATTGTCTAATCTTTTAAACTTTTTGAATATTTCCAACTTTAATTGCATTATTTTCAATATCTTTAAAACCTAAATAACCCGGAATAATGTTAATTAATTGATACTTTAAATAGAAATAGTTTGCGGTATTCAACATTGGTGACCCTGATTTTAGTGTTTAGGAAATAATTATTACAGAATAACCTTATTCCTGCCATTTCTAAAATGTGGTTTGTCATTCTTTGCTCGCAATAGTCCCAGATATATAAGAATTTTGTTTAGTAATGTTTTTTTAGAAAATAATTATCACGGAATAGCCATAATTCTGCCATTTCTAAAATGTGGTTTTTCATTTTTTTGTTCGCATAAATACCAAAGATATAAGAATTTTGTTTATTCAATTAAAGAAAACCATGAAAATGTGTCATTGTGAACGAAATCATTCATATCTCCGGTAATTGTAAAACCACTAAAATGGGAGACCACGTTTTGGAAATGGCAGGAATTGGGCTTTTCGGTGACAACTTTTTTATAAAAATATATTGCTAAAACCAGGTAACTGATGTTTAAACCTTTCCAGTGGTCATTTTAGGTCCCACACAACATTTGGGCTCGATCAGTTTATTCGTTTTGACGTTTATTGGATACAAACAATACAGAGGCGCAACAATCACTTTTGCTAGGGGGGGGGAGGCAAAATATTTTTTTGTAATGATCTATGGGAAGGTTATGGGGGGCTTGCCCTCCCCCCCCCCTGAGAAACATTTGTGTTCAATTCAAATCGTTTTTTTTCTTGTGTTTTTTAAAATGTTATACTTTCAACAACTGTAAAAGTAACGATATGAGTCAATCAATTCTTTTAATGTGTGCGCGAGCGACAAAGAAAATTTGTTTAGTACTTGGTTTAATCATAGAAAGAATTACAAGAAATAATCATTTATATATTCTAAAAAAAANTTACACTTTAAATTAATGCGGATATTTTGTTATATCTAATAAAGTTTTGAAATAAAGATTTGGTTTCGCGGATATCTTTTTCAATGTTTTTCGAATTTTTTATCACATTTTATTTTTACATGTCTAAAATCCGAACAAAAAAAATTGGAAAGTTTTGTCCAAAACATCGATACTGCTGGGCCAGTCTCAAAATTTGAATTTCAATAAAGTTTTTTTTTTAAATTCCAGGGGGAACTCCTGGCGTTTTAGCTAGTCTATATAATAAAGCTTTTCGCTCATATATATATATTTTCATATATGTTATCTATGTATGGCTGGCCAAACAGCTGGACCGAATGGGCTAAATGTTTTTTTAGTATCCTACCTTACAATATATTTCTACATCTACAACTATGTATACTTCTACAAGTTAAATTAAGAGTGAATTAAATTATTTTGTTTTGCAATAAACAAAAAACATAAATGATTTTACCGCTTTTTGGCCAACATTACCGACCTTTGATTCCCCCAACAGAGGGGGAGATTAAGTTACCTAACGTCCTATGGGAGAGTTATGGAAAATAACCACCCGCTTCGCAAAGTTTTGGGGAAAAATTCGTGCATTTTAATTTTAAAAGAATTGTGTACAACTACTTTTTCCGGAAATTAGAAATTTTACTGCACCATCGGGATCCCAAGACCAATATTGCCTAAAAAAATATTCCTTGCTGCGCTCTGGATGTTTTGTAGGCAAAATTGGTCTTAGGAACTCTTGTTAAATTAAACTTCCCTTAACTTCCTTGTAAAGTAGTTGTAGGTAAAAAAAAACCATCGTTTATCATATTTATTTAATTTTTTACTTAAATAAAGGTTATAATAAAATAATAACTGTTGTTTATTTTACGAGTGTAGAAACATTAAACCATGGCTGCAGGTTTCTAAACAATCAGAGATTCTATTCTATAAAAGATTTATGAAATAATTGAGACAAACATTTAAACCCCGAGTTTTTACTCTCCGCGACGACCAATGACGCAGCCATTGAATTTTCCCAATTTTCTATGTTTCATAATTTTACCGTTATACGCTGTTTATACAGGGTGTATCCCAAAATACGCTGTTCCAGAATACATTGTTCATACATGGTGTCTCAGAATATATTGTGTGCTCATTTCATGGTGTCCCGACTACATTGTGAGTACATGGTGTCCCAGAATGCATTGTGTGTACATTGTGTCTCAGAATACATTGGGTGTCCATTGTGTCCCAGAATATATTGGGTGTACATGGCATGGTGTGCCAGAATGAGTGTAAATGGCCCAAAATACATTGCATTTAGAGGATGTCCCATAAAAATCTTTATCAAATACATGATTGGATAAGAAATGACTGATAAATCTCATATAATAATAATGTCTCTTTTCCCCCCATTTCTGTTTTTTCCTCGTCATCTACCCTCACTCCTGTTTTTTCGTTCTCGTCCTCAGACTATTTTTCCTGTTTTTTTTGTAAAAATAAAATAAGTCTAAAAAAACGTAGTTTTCTTATTAATTATCATAATTCCCTTACCTGTAGCTTTTATTACAAATAATTCTCCCTTCCCCCCCCCCTCTCCTTAATAATCCCCCCCTGTTTTCTAAATCAAGCCTCGTAATGCCTGATATGTCCAGAGAACTACCTGCTTTTTATTCTATCTCCACATATATATATATACACAATATATACAATATATACATTCCACTGTGTTCAGAACAGGTCGGTTTTATATATACTTGGACGCCTAGGGATAGATAGATAGATGAGGCAGGTATATAGAACCAGGCAGGCAGATAGGTATATTCTACTGCTTAGTGCCTAGTTTACTACTATACGCGGCTAGGTGAACAATGTACAGTGATTAGTATAAACCCTAGTCTGCGTAATTATACTATAAACAATAGATTTTATAAATAGCGACCTCCCCCCCCCCTTTCAAACAATCTAGACTTACGCTCAGGTTTGAACCAACGATTATTGATTTAGTTTTTGGTTGTACTTTACGTAATGGTGACTGTTAGATAATATTGTAAAATAGTCGCTTCAGTGATTTTAAAATCAGAACCATGTGTTTCCAGACATTTCTATTCTTCTTTTTAGACAAATATATATATATATATAGCATTTTAGTTTTCAATATTGTTTTTTTACAGGTATTTCTCTAATTTTTATTCTTCTAAGCAGTTAGTATACAGGGGGGGGGTCCAAAAATCGTTCTCTAGGAATATACCGAAAAATCCCCCACTCCTACAATTAGCTAAAAAAAATTGTCTTTTTTGATAATTTCCTTAGATATAATTTAAGTTTGCTTTGTTCTGTTTTAATTCTAGTTTTATTTATTCTACATTTATTCTACATGTCGTGTTTTATAATATACTATTGTTGTTTATATTATTTATTTAATTCAGTTTGATTTTGGCTATTTTTGCTACTTTGGGTTTTAGTTTACTTGGTTGTTGTTTATTTATTTGTTTTAAATGTTGATGTTTTTCATTTTTGTTGTGGTTGTTGACATTTATTTGTTTTGTAAACTCTAATTTTCTAATCCCTATATTTTGCACCCCAATGTCGTAGACCTAAGATATTTTAAACCATCAGGTTACTACGATATAGGGATTAGAAAATTTGAGTTTGGGTCAAGAACTCCATTCTTTTGTGAACGCATCATATTACTGTTGCTTTGAAAGCTGTTGCTGTTGCACTTGTAATTTAGTTTTGTTGAATTTGGTGAAATTTATAAACATAATCGTTGGTATATTACTAGTGTACATAGTGTACATAGTGTACATAGTGTAACTGCAAAGAGTTTTGAAATTTGATTTGAAAAGTGAGCCACGTGATCAGTAATAAATAAAGTGATAATAACCTAGTCATGTTCGGTCCGGAGCTTAATCCTTGGAATAGATAGATATGTTCGGTATACGGTGACAAGAAGAGGAGAGATGGGTCGTCCCAGCGAACAGAATGAGCGAAGCGAGCAGGGGAAGGCTGGGACCTCCCTTTGGATCCTTCTTATAGGTTAGTTGTTCATTTTGTAGGTTAATTATTCATTTTATATATGGTTAGTTATTCGTTTTATAGGTTTGTTATTCATTTTTTAGGTTAGTTATTTACTTTTTAGGTTAATTATGCATTTTATATGTTAGAGTTATCTATTTTATAGGTTAGTTACTAATTTTATTGGTTAATTATTAATTTTATAGGTTAATTATTTATTTTATAGGTTAGTTATTAATTTAAAGGTTAATTATTCATCTCATAGGTTAGTTATCTACTTTATAGGTTAGTTATTCATCTGAAAGAAAATCTACAAGATTTATAAAAATTCTTAAAACTGAATAGTTCAATATTTTACGTTTTTCATCGGGCATATTCATCTTTACATTGATGTTCACCTGAAAAGACGATTACAGTCCCTTTACTCTCTCTCAATAACCTCGGATACCTATTTAAAAAATCAAATGTTTCAATTTCATCTTTCATTTTTTAAAATTGAAAAAAATTGATAGATTGATGAATTTTCTATTTAGGAATAGTAAGCCTTGTTTTAAGCATTGTTGCAGTGGCCATACCATACTGGGGAAACTTCGCCTTAGCTACAGGTAAAAAAAAAACCTTTAGAAATTCCCAACATATTGATTGTGCATGAATTTTGTGTATGGAAATTTGTGTGACTTAGAATTATTCATCATGGTAAAAAGGCTTTTCTTTAACTTTTATAATAAAAAATGTGAATCATTCACTGCACAATAGACTAGAGGTCAATTTCATGTGACATTACTGGTAGGTCTTTGAGACGATCGTAGCTTCTGTAGATAATATTTTATTAGAAAAGATTTATCCGGGAACATTTTAGAAATTTAAAACATTTTTGTTCTTCTCAATAGATATTCAATAAGAGGAGATATGATTGAACACATTTAAGATTTAAATCTTAAATGCAATTTTACTACACTTTGTCTCGCATTTAAGACATTTAAAACGGATTAGAAGCAAATAGAATAGAATATATATTAGAGGGGATTTTAGACAATCCCTCGGTATGAATTTTGTCAGTCCCTTTTAGCCTGAAAGGGAGTTCAAAGTGTACAAATCATGTAAATGTTCACAAATTATATGCAGCAGAGTACATTAATACAGTATGATCCCTAGACTATCCATTTCAATTTTGAATTTTTTGAAGCTGTTAAATAAACTTTATAAAATGAATTAGGTGAATAAAAAACATCATTTGATTTATTGTTATAACGGAAAATCATCGTTTGTAAAGTAAAAGGCATAGAGCCTATGTGAAATGATCATTGGTCAATTAAATCAGCCTATTTCATAATTTGGTTTTCTTTTAACATTAATTTGAGATTTTCTGTCAAATGATATTCCAGGGCCCAAAAGGTTATATAGCACAAATATGTGAAGTACACCTTCAGTATGGAAACAGTACAACAAAATGGCCGTTTTACACTTTTTTTCTAGTAAATTCGGCTCTAATATATATTCTATTCTCTATGATTAGAAGCGAGAACACATTCTCTATGCAGAAATATTGGCTCCTAATGAAAACAATGTTCATCTCTTGGGTTTAAAAAAATTCTTAAAACGTTTTCTTCATTCGAAAGTATTTGCGTAAACCATGATTAGAAGCACCTGACAGGTAAATAAACAAAAACGCCCTTCTGTTTACTTTCTTACGCACTTACTATTACAAATACTACGCATTTTAAGCGTATCTATGACAAAAACTAAATAAATAAACAAAGAAAGGTAAATAAAGTGAAAAATCTAAAAACACAAAACTAAACAAAGTGTAGCAACAACGATGAGGAATTGAAACTTTTCAGCTAAACTTTTTTTATTTTTTTCATATTTATTTTTCATATTTATTTTTCATATTTATTTTTCATATTTGTTTTTCATATTTGTTTTTCATATTTGTTTTTCATATTTGTTTTTCATATTTATTTTTCATATTT